CCACTCTCTCTCTCTCTCTCTCTCTCTCTCTCTCTCTCTCTCTCTCTCCCTCTCGGTATAGATCTTGCTGGAATCTACATTCGGAACTTCCTCGACCTACAACGCTTATCCAGGATCTCCACTCTCTGTGTGGTCAACATGAGGGTAACCGTGACGCCATGAACGAAAGCTGAATTTAACTTAGTAAAATTTGAAGAAAGGAGACTTCAACCTCTCTTTTACATTTGCCTCCCATCTAAGTGGGTGGTTGGCGGGTGCTCTGGTGTGGTTTGCTCCTTCTTTCCTATCAAACTTCTATCGTCTTTATCTCCCCTCCTTCTTTTTCGTGTTTGTTACTCTCTTGTAACACTTCTAACCTTCGGCTCTTATATGACCTTATTGTGTTTTGCAAATGCCGTAAAACTCTCACTAAAACAAATAAGTGGGAGGCATCACTGTATGAAATTCCAAGACTAGAAATAGACGAAAAGCTTACATTATGACGTATACGACGTGAGCATGTCCTTCTACAGTATTATTTTCTTTGTCTTCCTCTCAGTTTCCCTCTTCTCCTTTTTAGGCGGATTGCGCAACCCGGATAGATCATAATCACGAGACAGGATCTGTGCAGTACACTTGTGATGTCATGAGGGTGTTTGGTCTTCGTAGAATCAGAAAAAAATCCTCTCCAAAACAGAAAGAAGGCTTAGTCAGGGTGTCAGTATAACAGAATATAGTTTTCTAAAGAAAGTAAGGGTTTCAATATGACAACAGATAGTTTTCTAAAAAGAAAGTAAGGGTTTCAATATGACAACAGATAGTTTTTTAAAAAGAAAGTAAGGGTTTCAATATGACAACAGATAGTTTTTTAAAAAGAAAGTAAGGGTTTCAATATGACAACAGATAGTTTTTTAAAAAGAAAGTAAGGGTTTCAATATGACAACAGATAGTTTTCTAAAGGTAGTAAGGTTTCAATATGACAACAGATAGTTTTCTAAAGGTAGTAAGGTTTCAATATGACAACATATCGTTTTCTAAAGGTAGTAGTAAGGGTTTCAGTATGACAACAGTACAACAGATAGTTTTCTAAAGAAAGTAAGGGTTTCAATATTATAACAACAGATAGTTTTCTAAAGGTAGGAAGGTTTCAATGACAACATATCGTTTTCTAAAGGTAGTAAGGGTTTCAATATGACAACAGAATATAGTTTTCTAAAGGTAGTAAGGGTTTCAGTATGACAACAGATAGTTTTCTAAAAATAATAGTAAGGGTTTCAGAATATCAACAGATAGTTTTCTAAAAATAGTAGTAAGGGTTTCAATATGACAACATATCGTTTTCTAAAGGTAGTAAGGGTTTCAGTATGACAACAGATAGTTTTTTAAGGGTTTGAGTATGACAACAGATAGCTTTTGAAAGTTCTTTGGTATACATACTCCCACACTCACAAATGGGCCACTCCGTTAGCCCAGTTGGTATCATACTGGACTACGAAGTGGATGGGCCTGGTTCGAATCCCAAAACTGAGCGTTCTTGAACTGGGTTTTCAGCTCTCTCAACCCATTGTACTTGGTCCCGTCAGAGATGCAGGTTACATTCGAAAGTCCCGCCTCTTATATAACCTTCTAATAGTGTTGATAGGGACGCTATATCCATACACTTACTTCTTTACTTACCTGACACTTGAACGCAAGTGGGTTATTCGGAGTGGGTGGTTGGTGGGTGCTCTGGTGTGGTTTGCTCCTTCTTTCATATCAAACATCTATCGTCCTTATCTCCTCCCCTTCTATTTTGTATTAGTTACTCTCTTGTAACACCACTAATTTTTGGCACTAAATGACATTGTGTTGCAAATGCCGTAAAACTGTTACTAAAAAAAAAAAAGAAGGTTAATTCGGAGGCGGGGTCAATTCTCAGCCTTTTGGTTAGGAGTGAACAAAGACCCCCGAAATGGATTTATAACAATAATTTCTATTGGTCCAATGACTCCCAAAATGAATTCAATAACAATGCTTTCTATTGGTCCTGAGGCGCGGCGAGACCACAGGGGAGGACTCCTTGGCTTAAAGTTTATGTGCAAGGCTGAAGAAAACAGAGGTGTGAAAGACCACACGAGGGGGGCGTCTGACATCTACGTATGTGCAAAGCTGATTCTTGAAGGCAGATTGAAAGCGTATGGTACCGCGAAAGCATTGAAAGCACCGAAAAGCATTGGATATATTGAAATGGATTGACAAAATGGTGAAACGGTATAGGTTCAACGCCCCTATCAACACTGTTAGATTATTTAAGAGGCGGGGAAAAGGATTGAAATTACTGAAAAGATAGTATGGTCCAAATTAAGTACGAGGCTGACTATTTAAGGCTGATTGAAAGTATATTATTATGGTGCAAAAGCATTGAAAAACATTGAAAGTATTGAAAGCAAAAGCGTAGTATGGAGCAGATAAAGTATGTACAAGGCTGATTATTGAAGGTTTAATAAAGCACTATAGTGCAAAAACCGCCGCGCAACACGTATGAAAACTTTGAAACACAATTAATTCCTGATTTTTGACACATTTGCTACGATGGGGCTCTTTGGTCTCCGTTCCCACTTCTATGCCCCACAGACTAAATGCAGCCATCCGCACTCACAAGGAGATGCATACAATACAGCAAACCAATTACTCATCACCATCATCCCCCACTTAGGCTCTTGTGTTTTTCATCTGAAGAGTGTCCTCGAGAAACGAACTGTTTTTCATTCATCT